TTTTTTTTTTTTTTGGTACCGGGGATCAAACTCGGGACCTTGCGCTTTCGAGGCAGGCGCTGGAACCAGTGAGCTAAATCCCCAGCCCTCCTCTTACGCTTGTTGTGAGCATCTGGGGAGATAATGAAAATTGAGTATTAACCACGGTGTCAGGCATAGGAAGTGCTCCTTAGCAATTATTGTTATTATTATTTTTAGCAATTATTATTTTCAGTCACAGGAGATATTTCTAATATATCTGGGCTTGAGGTTACTGATTTCCTATGGCATGAACAGATAATATTAATAAATAATAACTAGATTGTAAATACTGAACTGCGTTTTGGGCGTAAGAGGGGCTGGTCAAAAAATACAATATGTAGTTAAATTTTAAAAATTTATTACAGCGGGGCCGGAGATTTAGCTCAGTGGTTTTGCCGCCTGCTACACAAGTGCAAGGACCCAAGTTCGATCCCCGGTACCAAAGAAAAATTTATTACAGGCCCGGGGATATAGCTCAGTGGGACCGTGCTTGCCTGGCAAGTGCAAGGTCCTGAGTTCGATCCCCAGTACAGAAAGAATAAATAAATAAAATAAATAAATATATAATTTTTTACAGCACAAGACACATTGGCATTAATCCACCTCAAAATACTTCCCTTCAAACACACTTAACCCATTGTTCTTGCCGCTTTCTGAAGCAGTTCTTTTATTTTTTGGGGGAGCTGTGTAGAGTACTGGGGATTGGACTCAGGACTTCGGTGGAACAACTGAGCTAAATCCCTGCCCCACTGTTGTTGTTTTTTGAGACAGGGTCTCATTAAGTACCACAGGCTGACCTTGAACTCCTGGTGATCCGCCTGCTGAAGCCTCCCAAGTGCCAGGATAACAAGCTAGTGCCACCATGCCAGACCTGAAGCAGTTCTGGAAGAACTCTTCGGGACGTGTGATCAAATATACGGTGAATGCTGCTGCCTAGTGCCATCCAATGGAAAGGCAGGCTCTAAAACATTATAATCCCAGGGCTGGTTGTGGTGGCACACGCCTCTAATCCTAGCACTTGGGAGGCTGAGGCAGAAGGATTGCTGCAAGTTTTTTTATTTTTTTTATTTTTTTTTAAGGATTGCTGCAAGTTTGAGGCCAGCCTGGGGCACATAGTTGAGTTCAGGGTCAGTCTGAACTACAAATCGAGACCCTGCTTCAAAAATAAATAAATAAATAAATAAATAAATAATTACAATCCCAGTACTGGGGAGGCTGAGGCAGGAGAATTGCTGTGAGTTTGAGGTCAGCTTGGGCTACATAGTGAGTTCAAGGCCAGCCTGAACTGCATAGCAATACCGTGTCTCAAAAAACCTAAAAGAAAAAAAATTACAGTGAGCCTTCCGCCTTATTCCCTGGATTTGGCACTGTAGGACTTCTGCCTCTTCCCCAAAGTCAAAATGACCATGAAAGACGATCCCCGGTAACAAAAAAGAAAAAAAAAAGAATGAGCATGAAAGGTATTTGTTTTGAATTGATTGAGCACACCAAGGCAGCCATGTGGGCCTGGCCAACATAGCATAGATTCCATCTCAAACAAACAGACAGGGCTGGGGATTTAGCTCAGTGGTGCCGGTGCCGCTGCCTGCCTCGAAAGCACAAGGTCCTGAATTCTATCCCCGATACTGCAAAAAACAAACAAACTAAAAAAAATGAGGCAGAAGGAAAAATAAAATAAATACACAAAATGACAAAGAAATTAGAGAAATTAAGCTCTTGTGTATTGTAAGTTTCAGTTAAATTACCTCAGTGAGTTTAAATGCATGGGTCCTTGACATCAAGTACCTTTAGGAATGGGCCTGTGGAAATGTTCTTGGAAATCTTTAAGCAATTGTGAAAAATAGTGGAATTAATGGATAATGGGCAGATATTTAGTTTTCAAATGATGTTTAACAACTTTTTGTTTTTTGTGGTGCTTTTATAGAATATTCACCATATACTAGGCACTGTTCAAAGGACTTTACATATATTTAATGCTCACCATACCTCTGGGAAGTAGGAGTTATTTTTGTCCTCCTTTTATAATTAAAGAAACTTAGTCACAGACAAGCTAGATAACTGGCTCACAGTCAAACTACTAGCATGTGCAAGAGCCAAGACTTAGTCACATTGTCTGAATCAGAATCCTTGCTGTTAATCCTGATAGATACTAGTATCTTCAGAGCAAGGACTAAAATACCTAGCTCATTCCTAGAACAGACTATAAAACAGATGGTTTATGAACATGCAAAGTGGTAAGAGGTAGTGTGCCAGTCATTCACTTGCTTTCAGAGTCTCTGGCCTCTTCCTGCAAACTCCATTTCCCAGCCTCCCTTGCAGTGGGATTTGGTTTCTGTTTAGCTATCAGGAAGCACTCAACAGGAGATTTGCTAATGTGTGGTCTATCTCACTATCTCCTTTTTGGCTTTTTAGCAATTTCATTATATGTGTGACTATTTCTCTGTAAGCCGGGGATTTAGCTCAGTGGTTCTGCCTCCTGCCTCGCAAGTGCAAGGACCAGAGTTCAATCCCCGGTACCAAAAAAAAAAAAAAAAAAAAAAGAATTGAAAGATGAAAGACAAAATGATGACTCTGAAGATTTTGACAACCTAAAATGATGGATCTTAAGTATCTATAATGATAGATTACGTAAACATGTGCAATCAAATGTTAGGTTCGAAACACCAATGTGTGACAGGGAGAGCTAATTTAACTGTTGTTTGGATAAAGAGAAACCAGAGATTTCAGCTGATTTCAAATCAAGTGCATGTAAGTGAAGAGCATGGTGTGCTTGCACAAATGCTGACATACTGGAAAGCAAGGCCAGCCTGAACTACATAGGGAGACACTGTCTCAAAATGAAAAAAAAGGACCGGGGATTTAGCTCAGTGGTTCCGCCGCCTGCCTCACAAGCAGAAGGTTCTGAGTTCGATCCCTGGTACAAAAAACCCCCCAAAACAAAATGATTTTTAAAAAAAGGAAAAGGCCAGGTATTTAGCTCAGTGGTTTCACCGCCTGCTGCGCAAGCGCAAGGACCCGAGTTCAATCCCCAGTACCAAAAAAAAAAAAAAAAGGAAAAGATAAAGCAGAACTGGACTCTAAAGTCAGACTGCCTGGGTCCAAATCTCAGCACTGTCATTTATTAGCTGCACGGCTTTGGCAAGCTTTTTACATCTTCATGCCTGAGTCTGTCCATGTATAAAATGGGTCTAGTGATAAAGTTAGTGTTTTAGTTACCTATTGCTTAAAACCATGAACCTGAGTGCTAGGATTATCGGTGTGTGCCACCATAGCAGGCTCTGTTCAGCTTCTTCTTTTTTTTTGGTACCAGGGATCAAACTCAGGACCTTGTGCTTGCAAGGCAGGCGACGGAACCACTGAGCTAAATCACCAGCCCAAGCTTTTTACAATCTCCACTGTTTAATCTTTAATTGAACAGCTTATTGAGCATTACCTTAGAGCCTTCTGGAAAAAAATTGGGGGCTGGGCAGAGATATAGCTTAGTGGAACAGTGCCTGCCTGGCAAGTGTGAGGCCCTGAGTTCGATTTCTGGTACCAAAACAAAAATTTTTTTTTTTGAGATGAGATCTCGCTATGTTATCCAGGCTAGCCTTGAATTTATGATCCTCCTGCCTCTGCTTCCCAAGTGCTGGGATTACAAGTGTACGCCAGCATGCCTGGCTCCCTTTGAGGTGTGTGTGTGTGTGACTGAGCAGTGAACCCAGGGCCTTTGCACTGAGCTACATCCCAGGCATTTATTAATTTTCTTTTTTTTTTTGAGACAGGATCTCATGAAGTTGCTAAATTGGTTAGGCTGGCTTAAATTTGGTGATCCTCCTGCTTTGGCTTCCCAGAGTGCATGAATAACAGGCATGCCCAACCATGCCCAGCTCCTTCTGAAATCTTAACAGTGGATGTTAGAGTCAATTTAGGCCTCATTCTTTTTTTTTTTTTTTTTTGAAGACGGCATACGAGATCCTGGTTGGACTGTACAGTTCATTCTTCTGTTTATCTGAT